TATTATCCAAACCCCGAAATGTTTATTCCCGACCGCTTTCTACCCGAAAATCGGGACAAAATAATTCCCTACACTTACCTACCCTTCGGCGCCGGTCCTCGCAATTGTGTTGGTATGAGGTTTGCATACATGGAAGTGAAGGCTTGTTTGGCACATATTATACAACGTTTTAAATTCATGAGATGCGCCCAAACGGCGGTTCCCCTCACTTATGTCAAACACGTTCGTTCAAATTCACCCAAAGCTATTATCATTGCCTTTGAAGCACGCAATTGATCAAGATACTTTTAACAACGGTAGCCAATTATATATTGGGTTATCAATATTATTTAGAAATACAATTATAAAATACAATTCAATTGATTTTAGCGCTTAATATTCAAGAGTAATAATGTAGCATAGTGATAGTATGTAAGTTTATAATTCAATTTATTGAAATTAAATAAGCTAATTCAGTTAATTATAAATAATTTGCGAGTTGATAAATTATTAATTTATCAAGTTTCCAATTTATAATATGATAAGAGGTAATACATATATTTTAGCAACTTTATAATTAAACTATGATAGATTTTATTATTTTTTAGGTAGTAATTGTGAACCTTTACCAATCTTGATTTAATTTGAAACTATTGCTAAAATATTTGAATGACAAAATGTACAACATTTTACACAATGTTACCCTAAAATTTGTTAGCGCAGCACAAGAAATACTTTTTATCTAAAAAAGTAGTAAATGATAAGTCTTTCTTAGAAATCATGCTAACTTCAATTGCAATACTGTATTGCCAATACACATGTAGCCATTAATTTTATTGTGAATACAAGCATCTAATCATTCTACATTTATAATATAAAAGCAATGTGTAACAATTAAGTTATTAATAACTTATTACACAATTAATATATAAATCATAACTGATATAATAAAAAAAATAATTTAATAAATGAATGTTCTGTAGTTAAATTATTTTGAAAATTTAAAGTACTGAAGTTATGATTAAAATTTATATTTAATAGTTATATAAAATAATTAATTAATTAATTTTGATATTATAATTGACCTGTTATCTTTGACCAAAATTGACCAAGATATCATAATACATTGAACAGGATGCTTATGAAACTATAAATATAAAGTCAAAATGTTCCAGATAGAACATAATTAATACTAGATAAAAAGCACACTAGAGTACAATAAGTAACATAAACTAGATGGTTTAGCATAATTAGAGCTTGAGGTTGAAAATCTTATGCATTAATAAATAGGATGTAAACAATGTATTTAAACGCCAAAAACATTGGGAGAAGAGTAGGAAACCACCACTAAAAGTGCGGAACAATGACTAAACGTGGAGTTTTAGTACTGGTTTTGGCAGTGATTGCAGTCATTCATGCTTTACCAAAAAGAGGTGAGCGTTTGAGAAATACGCTAGTACATTTGAAAGTATTAATAATTAAATTGTTGAATACAGACCATAATGATTACGTGAGGAACCCGCACCCGATTGTGTGTTACTTTGGCAGTTGGGCATGGTACCACGAAGCCGAGCGTTTTGACATCGATGATGTTAATTACGAGTTATGCACTCATATTAACTATGGTTTCGCTAAAATCGATGAATACAATTATACAATACAAATGTTTGATCCATACCTCGATTACACACACTTTCGTTAGTAAACACGTCTTATTTAATACATATAATGATTAGTGTATTAATTGATTAACGCTTTGCCGTGTCTTCAGAGGCGTACCAGAGATTCATTGACCTGAAGAAGAAGAACCCGAACTTAACGACAATGATATCGTTGGGCGGTTGGAATGAGGGGTCGGAGAAGTACTCAGATATGGTTACCAACACTGATATCAGGCGGCGATTTGTGAGAAGTGTTGTCGACTTTTTAAATGAACATAACTTCGATGGCCTGGACTTGGATTGGGAACATCCGGGCAGTAGAGGTGGCGCTGAGACTGACAAACAAAATTATGTCAAACTATTGGAGGAATTGAGGGAAGCGTTTGAACCGAAAGGATATCTACTGACGGCCGCCATATCGGCCTCAAAGGAGACAATAAACGGGGCGTTTGTTGTGCCAAAACTGAACGAACTGCTCGATTGGGCCAATATAATGACATACGACTACCATGGTGGTTTTGATAACTATATCGGACACAACGCCCCTCTCTATCGCAGACCCGACGAGACCCCGGAGTTGGAAAAGCAATTGCATACGGATTACACACACTTTACTGTCGACTATTCAATCAATTATTACCTAAGTCTGGGTCTGTCTAAGGATAAGATGGTAATGGGAGTGCCCTTCTATGGCAGGGGTTGGACTCTTCTGGACGCCCAGCACAACCATATCCACGACGAGGCAAAGGGTATGTCACCCGCCGGTTGGATAGGGGGTGAGCCCGGAGTGTTGGGCTATAACGAGGTTTGTTACCATTTCTTAAACATTTACAAACACTGATTCGTATGAAAATTAATGCAAAATTAATTTTTCTATCTATAGTTGTGTCAAATGTTTAAGAAAAATGCCAGCGATTGGCAGCACTCTAATGACAGCCATTATTTGGCTCCGTATTCGTGGACTAAAGACACGTTTATTGGACACGAAGACAAGGAGAGCCTTCAGTGCAAAGTATATACAATTAATGAATATTTTAATTACATTTTAATGACAATTTAATTACAATATAAATGGCATCAATAGATCGCGTACTTGAAGGCCAAGGGGTTGAAGGGAGCGATGGTGTGGGCGCTGGAAAACGACGACTTCAAGGGTCGTTGCGGTGACGGAAAGTATCCTTTACTTCAAACCGTGTATTCAATGCTTAACGGAGACGACAAACACTCAATGCAATGCCCCTATGGAGAGGTGATTCCAACTACGGCTCCGCCAACAACCACTCCCAAACCCACATCCCCTACAACTAAACCCACTGATCCGCCGACAACCTCACCAACTCCTACCCCAACCCCTACCCCAACCCCCGATCCGGTGGACCCCATGTGTACGCGCGACGGATATATGCCCGACCTCTCGAACCCCCATAAGTTTTATCAGTGCGAAAGTATTGGTCCCCATAAATGGAGGCTAACTCTACGGTCCTGTTATGGAGACCTCGTTTGGCATCAGGAGCTCAAGAGATGTGACAATTAAACGATTGAAATCATCTAATGATAGTTTTTTCGTCAACTAAATATCTAATTTTTATTAATTTTATTTAATGTGTAATTGAATGCAATATAATTTTAAGACATTGTATATAAACATAATTTAAAAAATAAATTTAATTAAATTTGAATGCATAAAAAAGTTGTTATTATTATTTTTAGTAGACATTTACTGCTATTAATGTATTAAATTTGCACAACTTTTAACTACTATTGAATTAAACATTCATTTCTAAGCGAAAACTATTTCAAAACATCAGTTATTTTCAAATAATAATACAAGAGATTATAAAAATAGAGAATACAAGCGATTGCACACAACAACTCAAATTTAGCCTCACTTTCATCAACCGTTACGTTAAACTCCCGGCGCTTTCTAACCCATTGTTTTGCCGCCAACTTAAACACCACGACATCCGTATTATTGAGGTATCGCTTGAGGGCCAGACCCGACGTGTGGAGAGTGGGCGCCCACCGACCAAAATGGGCCATTTGTGACCTATCTTCTGAGCCAAACCAAGAGTTAAGGTAGATATTTATTACCCTGGCGCTCTTGCCCTCAGACTGTGCCAACTTATCCGCAGCTGTCTGTATCTGATCGTAAGACCAGATCCGCCACCTGTGCCGCTGACCAACAGCTCTGAGTCGATCCACTTGGCGTAGAAGTGCCCTGAATTTGGTCAAAGCATCGGGCAGAAACACGCCCAGACTATCTTCGCTGATCTCCAGCATTGGTTTCAGTTGTGGCACTCCGTCCAGCGCTAGGGTCTGGTGTGTGGACACAATCCTCAGCGAACAGTAATAGTAATCGGAGACTAAATACATGAACCGTTGTCTTCGCCGGTGATCGACAAATAGGTTCTTAATGTTCAACATTTGGTCGAGCCTTAGGCCGACGGCAATCATCTCAGTCTTAGTGTCGCTAATGTTTTCAAACTTTAAGCAGCGCAGTCACTGACAGCAGGTCTGCAAACACAATATGCTCAGCTACAGAACAAAGGTAAACTAGGTATCCAAACATAGCATAAGAAGGCCGCCAACTCACTATATAGACACGTATAGAAAATTGACGAAAACCATTGGTTTCGGTGACTGTCCGTACGTTTGGCTCAATATTTCCGTATAAAACACTATTAAATAACTAATTATACCATTCATTGGGTTTTATAAATATAATTTTCTTGTGATTATCTGTTATAACATTTAAACATCAATTCATTTCTAACGGATTGTAATTGAGATTTAATTTGATTATACGTTAAAGTCTCGCGCAATCTATAATTAATTATTATACCAATTATTATTATACAATTATTAGTAATAATTTATTACCATAGTATTGTTTTAAAATTTGATTTAATTATTATAACGTATTTATCAATATATATTCAAAATTTATTATTTGAATTTCAAATCTATTCACAGTAAAAGTGATTTCAATTTTATCAAAAGCAAAACTTATTAGCGATTAGTTTATTATAAGTCTAAAATGAATGCAATATTCATAGCATTTCTAGTGATTGTATGCGGAATTCAATCACACGTTTGTGACAAAGTTTTCGATGATTTTATACTCAGGTATTGATTAAAATTAAAATTCATTTTTCAATCTCTAATTGTATTGAATGCATAGGACATGTCAACGACCTTCCGATCGACTGTCAACACCGCAATCATTCATATCGTTACCAAACCATACGGTTATCTCATTTCAATTCAGATATATGTTTGGCGTTACACTCAATGCGACCACAAATCGGGTAGTGATGGACATCGACCCGAAGCGATTGCTGGCCTCGTTTGACATAAGCAATTACTTTGACCATGATCCTAATTCGGTTTATAGCTTCTCTGACGTATCGATGGTCGACTATACCGCGCATATGGTTTACAAAACGTTGGACTCCTCTCGCATTATATTTATTAGTTATCAATTGAATGGCAATTATTTTCAAAAACTAAACACTTTTGAAAAAAACGATGAAATTTACATGAATTACCCGTTTGTGCCTTATATTAAAAAAGATCAAAGAGACAACATGGTTAGTTTACCATAAATTTCTATATTCATAACACTAGTAATCTCTCTCTCTCTCTCTCTCTCTCTTAGGTGTCATTATATGTGTGATTGTAATCATATGTGTAATCATTGGCTGTTATTGTGTGTTGTCTTCGAACCCAAACTCCAAAGAAGAGAAAGAAATGCATAAAAAGATGTTAAGAGAAAAACTCGATACAGAAAATAGCGTTTTTTCAGTGCCCTTACTATCAGTGTGTGTTTGTCTTCAGTAAAACTCAAAATAACAGATCATTTGTCAACATTTATAATTCACAACAAAATCAGATATTAAATGGGATTTACAAACAACTCATAGTAAATGTAGTGTCAGTTCTCATCAAAGACTGTACGAAACAACCAATTAATGGATTAATCTGTCAGATATATCTATGTTTTGACATAAATATGTTTGCATTGTTTCAGTTTGAATTCAATGACCAAAGGTTTACAAATATAACAAACAGACTATCAATTCATAGGGTATTTGATTTTAAAACAACATTTCTCTAATAATCTAATGATTTTAATTGTATTTCTAGTCAAACAGTGTTTGGTTTGGCTGTCCGTCGGATATCTGTTTGAGTGCAGCCATCGATGCAATGATTTCAACAGACAATACGATTTACTATATATTTAGTGGCAATTATTACTGGAAATGGGATTTAAATCTTACAACACATCCAGAAATTCAAAGAATTGAATATTTAATACCGGATTTGCGAAACATTGACACAGTTTTTGTCGATTACATAAAATCAGAGATTTTTGTCGTAAAAGGAGACGAATTCACCACTTTTTCGGATAACAAGAATCAACGGAAACAATGGACACAACTCTCGACTCTTTTCCCTAACAGTGAATACCCTTTGGATGCCATTCATTGTAATCGCAATTTCAGTTCATGTCATTTACATAAAGTTTGTATTTTTATTTCATAGTTTATAACATTAATTTAATTGTCATTTGTATTAAAGGGCGATAAAAGGAAATTGTATTCAAAGGATTTGAACAATAAGTTTGTATTTAAAGACGAAACTCTACTCAAAAGTGTCGGACTTCCGGACAATTTGGACGCGGGTTTTACCGATGAAAACGTAGTGTTTGGTTTGGCTGTCCGTCGGATATCTGTTTGAGTGCAGCCATCGATGCAATGATTTCAACAGACAATACGATTTACTATATATTTAGTGGCAATTATTACTGGAAATGGGATTTAAATCTTAGAACACATCCAGAAATTCATAGAATTGAATATTTAATACCGGATTTGCGAAACATTGACACAGTTTTTGTCGATTCGATAAAATCAGAGATTTTTGTCGTAAAAGGAGACAATTTCACCACTTTTTCGGATAACAAGAATCAACCGAAACAATGGACACAACTCTCGACTCTTTTCCCTAACAGTGAATACCCTTTGGATGCCATTAATTGTAATCGCAATTTCAGTTCATGTCATTTACATAAAGTTTGTATTTTTATTTCATAGTTTATAACATTAATTTAATTGACATTTGTTTTAAAGGGCGATAAAAGGAAATTGTATTCAAAGGATTTGAACAATAAGTTTGTATTTAAAGACGAAACTCTACTCAAAAGTGTCGGACTTCCGGACAATTTGGACGCGGGTTTTACCGATGAAAACGGGGATCAGATTTATGTCAAAAACAATTACCTCTTTTGGAAAGAATACGGAATTTTTAGGCAACAAATAATTCAACACTACTTTCAATGCCCCGAAAATTACTACAAAAATTTAGCGCTTAATGAATTGAATTCGTGGCAAAAATTCATTAAAGACATCAAAACATATGATGTAATCAATTTCACAGAGGATCCCATACCTGCACCCAAACACATACCAACAACTGCCACAACAGTTAGCACTACAACTGTAACCACACTTAAGCCAACTTCACCGCCGGATCTAATTGTCTTTTATGGCTTAATTGCCGGTAAATCTAAATCTAATTTTGCAATAATAGTGTTATTTATGATAATTGTATTCAACAAAAGGTGTCATTATATGTGTGATTGTAATCATATGTGTAATCATTGGCTGTTATTGTGTGTTGTCTTCGAACCCAAACTCCAAAGAAGAGAAAGAAATGCATAAAAAGATGTTAAGAGAAAAACTCGATTCATTGAAAGCCAAACAATCGCCTGAAAAACCCAAACAAAGTCCCGAAAAATCCAAACAAAGTCCCAAAAAAGTAATTCACATTTAAGTCAACACTTAATTCCTATACAAATGATTTTCTCATTATTTTAACATATATTTTATTTCTAAAACGTTTTTAATTAAATTAAATTTGTATTCAAATAAAATGTCAACTAAATTAAAACCTAAATAAAAATGATTATTAAAATACAATAAAACACCAAACTATTGATTAGAAGTCTTGATCTACGACTGGCCACCGGTGCTGACCAATGGGCAGTGCAGTAAATGGTCGCAAAGTATAACAATCTTTGGCTCTCTTTAATCATAGGGATCGTCGGTCTCATTGAAGTACTCGTTGTACAGCGTTTTGGCCACAATTTCCTGACGATTGTTATCATATATTTTGGCCATTTTTCGGGAGAGGTGTCCGAACGCCACGTCCAGCGCAGGTGACGAGCCATAGATTGCGAACCACAAGACGGCGTTTAAGAAGCGTTTCAAACACTGTTTCACTTTCATCTGATCCCAACCTATAAGACATGGACAGAGAGATAATAAAAACTTAATACTATGTGTCAATTGTTTTAACAATAGATACCTTTTGACTGATTCTTCGGCGGACAAACGCCGCCTAAAACGAAGGGCTCGGCTAATGGATGGCAGTCAACAAACAACGGCTCGTAAACCATGAGCCGATCGTTGGCCACAACTTCCGCGTAACCGAAGTCCACGAACACAATCAACGACTGGTTGGCGGCCGTCGTGTCCACCGTTTTCACCAAAACTCGATAGAAATTACGGTTTGATTTGTCACTACATTTGCGGCAAATCAACAAAACAAAGACATTATTTAAAAACATGGGATCAATTGGTTACCACATCTCATACCAGTAGACATAGTATTTGCCCTCTTGTGGATCAGTTTGGGTGACACTATCGCCACCGCCGGTGAAGTACTTGTCAAACATGGCCTTAAAGTGGGCGTCCATTAGTTGCTCGAGTCTTAGGGCGGACTGAGTGTCCGTCTGGGCCCAGACCATCACCTGCTGTCCACTCACGTCCACGTGTGTCACCTGACACTGGATCAGATCGGGTGTAAACTTCAGGTCACTCATAGCCGATGTCTGTCTCTCTTTCTGTCGATGAAATCAATGACTGGTTTTCACAACAAATCACTGCTTGTCTTGAAGTGTGAGTCAAAGCACGTGTCGACTCAACACGTGGTTTGTGTTTAGAGGGAATGTATTGTCATTACGTTCGCCAATACTAGAGGTGTTTCACAACTTGTTTAACGTTTTAATGGATCAGCTTTTGGTGAGTTTAAGACAATCGATAGTAAATCAATGGAAAACTTAAATATTTTATTACAATTTAATTTATAAAGTAATAATATGTTAATCAATACAACAAAAACTATTAATAAAAATTACTAAAATTGTGTTTTAATTTAAGATTATTCTTCTTCGGCCACAAAACAGGTTTAGATTTAATGATTAGATCTCCAGAAGTGATGTCTTTTATCTATTGGTCAACGATTCCAAGCGTTCGGACGGTATTCGGTGTTTGTGTCGAAGAGTTGTCTCCTTTCGGTTCACTTTCCTCATCATTAAGAAGCCTAAGAAAGTGATGGCAATTATGACCAGAATTGCGGTCAAACCGGCGATCCATAGCCACCGACTGTCTGAAGACTTTTCACTGTCGCTGTGATGCGGATGCGGTGACGGATACGCCCAACCATTGGTGCTGTTTAGCGGCGGAGGACTCGCAGGACAATCGGGCGCCGGATCTCCAATCTTGAGAAAGTCTTTCGTAACGCTGAGCGCCGTATCGTTGGCCCACCGACTGGTGACCAGTTGTCCCGTATCGGTGGCCGAGTCTATAGTCAATCGATGGTATGTCCGCTCGTGAAACACAAACGCGAATTTGTCGGAACCGGTGCTGTCTTTGTGGACAAAAACGGCGCGAATCCTCTGTCCGTCTGTCGACAGCGACTGTTTGGCCGATTCGGGGCTCTTCTCACGTCCCCAACGGTTCTGGTCATCGCCGCCGCCGTTGTTGTCGCAGAGATAGCGACAGTCAACCATCGCTAACACATCCGCCTTCACGTAATAAATCCACAGATAATTGATGGCAAACATGGCGTCGAGGGGTTGTCTGTCGGACCAATTGACGCGCGCTCGGGAGGAGCAGTGATCAGAGCTATACTCCATGAGAGAGTCGGGCAACCAATTCCCGGTCTCCGTATCCCACCATTGCATCCAATACTTGCCATCAATGAGTTGACTGATCCACACCTGTCTGGTCGGCACCACCGCTGAGTCCGCGCTTCTAAGGCCTCCCTTACGACAGCCGTCATTACTGTCGACATAAACGGCAGCGTTTAGTCGTGTGAAAGGTGTGGGCAGTGGTCGGGCCTCGGAGTCGGGCGGAGGGAACTGATTGTCTTTCAACCTGTGGCCGCCACTCGACAGCCAATACATGCGTACGCTATGGGCGTAAGCGATGGCATCGATCACAGAGTCTTTGCACAGGTATTTGCTGTCACTTATGGCCAGTATATCACGTGTTAATGCTATGCATATTATCATACAATTAATCCAATGCTTATTATTATAAGACTTTTGTCTCATTATGTGTTTGTTGTATACAATCGGCGATCAATTTCTTGTGGTTATCTGTTATAACATTTAAATATGGATTTTTAACGGACTTTAAGATTTAATTTGATTATATGGAAGTCTCGCGTAATTTATAGTTAATTATTATACCAATTATAACAGTTATTAGTATTGTTTTAATATTGGAAAAATTGTTTTGAAATTTGATTTTATAACGTATTTATATTCAAATCTATTCGCAGTAAAAGTGATTTCAATTTTCATCAAAAGCCAAATTTATTAGCGATTAGTTTATTATAAAAGTTTAAAATGAATGCAATATTTATAACATTTCTAGTGATTGTATGCGGAATTCAATCACACGTTTGTGACTTCGCTTTTGACTATCTTATACTTAGGTATTCATTAATTTCTGATTTGCTTTGAATCAAATGCTGCCTTAAAAATAAAAACTAAACACTGATTGAATTGAATGCACAGTACGTGTCGGCGACCTTACAATTCACTGACATCAATGATATCGTTACCAAACCATACGGTTATCTCATTTCAATTCAGATATATGTTTGACGTTAGACTCAATGCGACCACAAATCGGGTAGTGATGGCCATCGACCCGAAGCGCATGCAATACTCGCATTTGATAACCAATTACTTCGACCACGATTTTACCCGACGACGCTTTTTCGACGTCTCTATGGCTGACCATTCAGTTTATATGGTTTTGAAGCAATTGAATGCTCTATCGTTTAGTATTAATCACTATGAATTGAATGGCAATGCGTTCTTAAAACTAAACACTTCACAACTTGATAATGACTTTCATAAGTTTTACCCATTTTTTCCTAATATTACAGACCAAGAAAGATGGGATATGGTTAGTTTACAAGCTATCAAAATTTATAAAATTAACGCTTTCTCTCTCTCTCTCTCTCTCTCTCTCTCTC